ATTGTCACTTCAAATTATCTGGTATGGTTTTCTGGATATTCGTTTTTCCCATGTCGACAGTTTACAGTCTATTATCTTGCTCTGTTGCATAATTCACATTTATAGCAGTTGTAGAATATTCCTCGTACGTTATCGAGGGAAGTATTAGGTCTGCGCGATTCAGTAAACTTAACACAATGGTCATCAAGTCGGAATCTTGTTAGAGGTCGTGTGTGAGGTAGTGAACTCCAAATCCTATCAGCACTTAGAGTCGACCATGTAAGCTTACAAAGTAACTGTCGGGTATGAAAAAGCGATGTCAATACCATTATATCATCTTTTTCTCAAACTCCATAAATTACCCTCTCAAAATTGAAAAATTAGTATTGTTCTCCTTTCCATCCCACTCAGTTAGACTTAATACAATGCGAATGTTTACAGAATTGAAAATAGAGCACGTATGGCATGGGATCAAACTACAGCAAGCCCATCAATCATTCATCTTTGATATCACTTTCTTGTGGATGCTTATCTGAAATGTAACAGCTACACAATTATGGTAGCAAAAACTAAGCATTTTAGGCGTTTTCTATGCAACGGAAAAGTAAATCTCAGCTAATCCCAAAAAATATATAAGAGAGAAAGAAAAGAAATGCTTTTTATACCGCAACATGATCAATCCAATATATAAAGGGCCTTATTGGATAGAGTAATGCAAACTCTACACAGCAATTTTCAAGATTCTCAATTACGTGAAGACGCGCGCGAAATTGTAGCCAAAATATGAAAAGCATTTGACCTTTCGAAAATCGCGTTTTCGCTCAAAAAATCCATACAACCCATTGATCGTTCAGTATGCTTGATATGGCGTATTACTCTAAAAACTGAAAACAAAATGAAAGCCAAAATTCTAAACACAAACTTGGGTTATCGTCAAATACATGCTTTACACCTTATATTAGAATTAGCAACGGAAAAATAACCCTGCTGTATGTGCTTCAATAATGAAAATGGCAGAAAAATAAAAATAAACCAAAATAAAACAAAACTCCAAAATGATGATGCTGTATTTTCGGCTCATGTTAGTTTCTTATAATTCGACCTCAGAAAAAAATCAGCAAGTGCCTATTACTACTTTGTAATTACTACAAGGTTGACCTAGTTAGAGTTTGTAAGTTTGTTTTGGGCGGATGTCCGCTTTTTAGAATTGTGAAAAGTTGATACTGGCTTTGAACATTATGATCTCGACTTGTGTGAATCTTCTTTGATAATCTTATTGAGTTTGCCTTACTCCAGCGTCCTTCTTGCATTTTTTGTGCTTGTCCCTAGCTTGTAAATGTTGACAAACTTTTTCCTAAAGGAATATTTTCAACAGCTGTAGACAGGTGGTCTCAAAATCTTTCAAAATCTAGTAGCGTAATTGCCCTTCTTTTATTGATAGATAAATAATCATCATTTGTACTAGTGTCAGTTCTGCACCGCCCTATGGGTAAATCTCCAGTGGTGGACCGAGAAGCCTCCCCCCCCCCCCTCTTTGAGAATGGGTTGTGAGATTTTTGAAAGTTACTTACATAGGTTATAAAAACGTGCAAGAAATAATTTTTAAAATTTTTTTGAATTCTCAAAAATTTTTATCAGCCCTGGCCACGCAGCTTCACTTGAAATAGTTTTTGTCGGGCATTCCCCCTTCCCTCTCCCCTAAGGGAAATCCTGGGACCGCCACTGGTAAACTCAGGTAATAGGTCATTCAACTACACTGTAGTATGATTAGGCTGAACACAACAGGTCAATGTCGCCCTGATAATCAGTCGCTAACACTCCGCTGCTGTCATGCGCTTCCACAATCGAACGTCATTTTCGAAACTTATGATGACTTTTTGCTTCTCGCCCTTGCATTTCTATTGCTCAGTATCTCTTTGATCTATCTTCTTTTCGTGGAACGATGACAACGCATTTACCTCTCAAAACATTTTCTGAAGTTATATTATCCTACAATTTGCAATAAATGTGTGGTAATATGGACATGTATCGAAATTGTGGTCATTAGTGCGATAACAGATGTCTGGTTTGACTTTTCATGCCGACTTCGCTCTACAAAACCGAATGAACCACTTCCTCTGCGTCAAATGTTCTTTCAAACATCCTGGCTTTGGCTTCTTTGATAAAACATTCCTTTCACACATTTGCAATCTCATTTTTAAAGATTTTATCCCTCTTGATATCGTTCCAGACCTTAGGTTTAATTCCTTCCAAAAGAACTTACATGACTAACCTCTAATTAGCCCATGCATCTTGTATGAGTTACGCACTCCCAAAAATGTATATTTGGTAAAGTAAGCTTCGATTTCTTTTGTTTCTATGCTTAAACTCTTCGTGTACGAGTGCATCTAATAATATCTCATTCACCATGCGCCACTACCCTGACTTTTTTCTCGTAATGGTTTAAGTGACCTCGGAAAGAATATTACAAGTGTTTCAAATGATATTTACTTGGAATTGTATGAAGGAAATCCAGTAGGTAGCAAAAGCTTGCCTCTTCTAGCTATGGAAATGCCTAAGGTGCTTCTACATAACGCCTCCAGTCACTTTCTTCGCACTTTTTATGACAAGCTGACTTGCCAAAAAATCGAGTAATCATGAATATTATGTAATGTGCAAGCTTTATTATAATATTCTCGAGAATGTCAACAATACAACTTATCTTAGTAGCACAACCTCTACGTCCTTATCTAACATGATTGTGGGCAGTAGGCAGCAAAAACTTGAGGGCTTGTGGAATTACCTGCGGACCTTCAGACTTCCTGCGCCTTTAATTACTTCTTCGCACCTCTAATCCCTTCTATGACCTACGCCCAGTCGTTCATAAACTATCTCATATCGTAGCATATACGTTGATGAGTACTAAAAAAGACTCATAGAGATCACCCTCAAACATCAAAGGCTATGAATTAGATTTTTGAGTTGATTTGGAAGTACACTTGATCTATAAATTCTTCAAGCCGGACGTAATTCTTATACATTTTTCTCAACTTTCTCAACAGACTTACTCATCTTTACCCCATGAAGTTTAAAGAAAACTGCCCTGAACCGATGTTTGAGCTGAACCCGACTGTAGATGAAATTAAAAGAAATTGCAAGCTTTCCAAATTGATCCAAAGTAAAGCACTCTTCAAGAATTTCGTTCGAGTTTCTTGATTCTAAACTAATCAAAGGTGCGAAGAGATTGAGAGCGCAAGAAGGTCTGAAGCTTCTAAGCACATCAGAAACAAAGGCGGCCACGTTCTACTTCCTCCTGCCTGACGTCCGACTAACACCAAGTGCATTGGAACAAGAAGCAAAGACTGAACAAACTTGACGACTGAGATATTTTCATTTTGATTGGTTTTGCTAATTTTTAAAAAGAACTCTTACTAAAGATTCTTTAACTCTATTACTGATTTTCAAACGCTACAATACAACGCAATACTACAACCAAATACCTGCAATCATTGACCATGCTCAAACATCCTGACAGACAAAGATTTAAGACTGCTATTTTGGCAATCAGAAGTGCTAAGAATTAAACAATCGCATAAGAAAGCCTAAAGCTTCTTACAATCAGCTACTTCTGCAGATGCGGTTAGCTTTTGCTGCCTTCTTCCCTATCGCAATATTGTATATCTGAACATATCTTGGCTTGTATGCATCTCTGATGCAAATCTAGAGGCTATTGCATGGCGAAGGCGCAGAAGCAATATTAGTTGAGCGGGCGCGAACGCGGCGCGCGCGTAATTTCACTGTTCAAATCGTGCACATCACGCGCTCTGCTGCTAATACCGCGTTCGCGCTTAGAGATATTGCGCCTTTATGCGGCAGCCTAAACTTAGCCAAACGAATCTCTGCTTCCATTGGACTTCCACTCATTATCAGATGGCACCTTGAGTACGACTAAAACTGCTTGCTAAACGCAAGCATGGCCAAAAACTAGTACTAGATAATCACTGAGCTGATATTCTTGGATACTTCTAAACGCTTCTGAGACACCTTGATAGGCAATAGTTGTTATGGAGACAGCTTGCTTTAGAAAGAAAAAGAGGTAAGACATACATGCGCAGTACTTTAGGTAGCCTCATCTCATTGTTATTTTAAGAAACTTTAGCTTTCTTTGATAAACTGAGTGTTTGGACTTATCTGTTACAAGGTTTTCGCTTTTGGTTGGTTTTTTCCGCAATTTCAAAGCTGATACAATGACTGCGTTCTGTTCACATCTCTTCCGTAACTTTGCAGACTGCAAAAAAAGTTAATGAGGTCAATGTCACATGTTTCACTTATGTACATTTTTCAAAGAGAAATGTAAATTTTAAGCTTTCCCCCACTGATGAAAATTCTCTGCAAAGCGCTTTCGCAGTCATTTTTGTTGGTAGAAATCTGCGTTTCATTACAAGTTAGAACTGTAAAAGTCGCAAAGATGCAGCTTTTGCGTTGATTCACTCACTGAAAACTAACACTGGTTCTCCAATTTTTTAGCCAGCCAGTACCTAATCGCTACATTCATTTGAACAAGGCATTCGTTCATTCTTTCTCATTCGTCTCTGAAATCGGTGTAAAATGCCATAAGAATTTTTCTGTGATACAAATATTCGCAAGCATTTTTCTTTCGATGACTGCTAAAAAATAGAATTTCAAATATACTCGAATGTGTACCTATGGATCTGAAAACGCACTCAGTTGACTTTTAAAGTTTCAAGAAAATAATCAACTAAGGTCTTGAAATATTTTACAATGAACCAGATATGTCTTGTCGATCGACAAACTCGAATTCTTGTGCCATATTCCTGAGTGAGTCCATTCGTAATTTGATTTCACTCTCTCTTTTTTCTTTCACTTCAAGAAATTATAACCAACATGTTTTGTCGGGCAAAATAAGCAGATGAAATTTTTTTTGAGAATTCCCAAAGCCTATCTTATCTGAATCTTCCGCTTTTTTCTCGTCAGCTATTGTGTGTTGAGCATAGAAATGCTCGCATCAACTAAGTTGATGTTCAGGGTTTTAACCGACACATTGAAACTTTGCATCCAAGATGAAAGAGAAGACTTTGAAAGCGGTTATATTTGACATGGGTGGAGTTCTAATTGATGCGCCGTATGGATTTTGGAAAGGTACGTTTTCTCTTCTCCGCTTATAACATCATACTCATGGGACATTGAAAATAAAAATTGCAGATAACCCATCTACATTTGTTACAATCAAAGATCAAAAAGGTAAATGATCAATGAGGTAGATAGTTATGAAGTTACAAAGTGTTTTACCGTGTCCGAACTTCTAGATGAAGTTTGTTTGCTTAGCCCATAAATCTAAGGGTCATTACGAGCTCAAAGAGTAAGGATCTAATTTGGCGAAATTTTCTGAAGTTTCCAGCACTCTTATTCAAAACTGGCTTATGTCTTGATAAATTTTTTGTAAATATTCTATAAATAAATTTCAGTTTGGGCAGAATCAGGTACGTTTTACAATCAACTATTTCTTCATTTGAGATATGGAGACAAGTCGAACGTTCGATGCGGGTTCGCTTGTGTCTACACTCTTCAAATCTCCTATCAAAGAGCAATTTGAAGCACTGGAGCGAGGAGAGACCACGGCGGAGGATTTTGACCCACTGTTCACTCATTTCTATAACAAGCAGGTAAAATTTTGGAAACTTTCTTACTATTACTTTACTTACTTTTAGTTTGGAACCCTTATTTAATGCATCTTTTTTTTCAGCACAAGCGCACAGAAAGCCTCATTCCGGTCATTTCTTCTGTTATTGATGGAATCCACGACAAGAAGATTTTACCGGAAATGGCTTCTCTGCTAAGAGTTAGTGCTTAGTAACTTTCAGAAACAAAGTAGAAAGTTTGGTTTCAGGATCTGCGCTCAGTTGGGATCAAAACAGCCTTGCTCACAAATAATTTCTATGCTGACCGAGCCCGCCTTTCCCCAACGATTCCGAGAGGCATCGAGAATTATTTCGATGTAGTTGTAGAATCGTGTAGGATTGGTATGCGAAAGCCAGAATATGCTATATACAACCACGTATGCAGTCTGTTGAAGGTAAGATCTTTGATTTGTCATGCGCCATTTTTCTTCTCATTTCCCCTATTTGCGTAAGTTCAGGTTAAACCAGAAGAGTGTGTATTACTTGACGATTTGGGTGTAAATGTCAAAGCTGCCAGAGCCATCGGCATCTTCACTATCAAAGTATGACAACAGCCTATAAATTTTAAATTGAATGATTTCCGTTTTGTAGGTCACATCTCCTCTGCAAGCTACTGAAAACGTAAGGAGCAAGCTAGTAGATCTTTTCGAATTTCCACCAAACACTAGGGATTGTTTGCCAAGTCTGCAAGAATCAGTTCCTACATTTACGAAGCAATGTTGATATATTTAGAAGAAAGGCTACCGGAGGAAAAGCTGCAAAAGTTTATCCAAAAAGAACTAGGTTTGGCTGGATGCAACCCATTTATCGTCCGTCGTTTCGGGCATGGACAGTCAAATCCTACCTATTACATCAAAGCTGGAGATACGGAGCTCGTGCTAAGAAAGAAGCCGGTAATTTGCGACTATCTGAATTATTTCCATTTTTTGAATTTTTCTCAAAAATGATGCTCAGTTTGATACATTAGCGTAAAAAATTGCAGAAGGTACGGCTCCTTTTTTAAAATTTTTATAAGAAAGGTTTTACAAACCGATGTTACTGACTGCTCTGAAACTTGACTTAACATTTTAGCCTTTTAAGTCTAATTTCAAGGCCGAATCGGTAATTTTGTCAAGATTCGATCTCTGGCAAGTGTCTTTAGGACGAAGCTGCTCAAGCGCTGTAACAAAGCGCATGCTTTCCCCCTTTCAAATATTCAAAACACTCAATCGGATGAAATGTCATAATCTTTATTTCTTCTGAAGGGTCACAGTATTTTAACCCACCGTAATCCATTTTTGAGGTGAAAAAAATACAACTATTCCATTTAGAGCGGCACCTTACTACCAAGAGCGCATCAAATCGATAGAGAGTACGTGGTAATGAAAGCAGTTCAAGGCACATTGCCTGTTCCCAAAGTTCTACTCTACAACGATAGGTTAGATTTGCCAGAAACTGCATGTATTAGTAAAAAAGATTGAAACATTTTCATTTAGCCTACTTGACACACCATTTTACATCATGGAATACACAAAAGGTCGAATATTCATGGATCCAACCCTATCTGATATGGATCCAAAGGATAGAAAGGAGATCTACGAAGAAGCAATAAGCACTCTGGTCAAGCTTCATAGAACTGATTTTTACAAACTTGGGCTGGAGAACTTTGGCAGAAGAGGTAGGCTAGATTTGTAAAATCGCAGAAACAAACTGTCAAAGTTTTCTAGATGGATACATGGCAAGGAATCTCCAACGATGGTCAAGAAGCTATGAGATGGCAAAAACAGAAGAGATAACGGAGATGAATCATCTGCTGCTCTTTTTGGAGAAGAATCTACCGAAAGACAATCATACTGCTACCCTAGTACATGGAGATTTTCGGTAAGCTTTGGAGAAACTGTGAATCTGCCTTAATAAGCGATCTTGGCAAACATGCGCTGTTCAAGTGTCGAATGCTAATAGTAGTGTCAGCGTGATTAAGCTTCCCAATATTATCTCTCATTCTGATCAAAATTTTTTCCAAAATGTTCTTTCAAGAAACTGTTTCACGAGATTTTAACAAGCAAGTAGAGGTAGACTTCCTAAATTCACATAGAAGCCATCTTTCCTTTTGTTCAAAACTGAAGTTTATTCAAATATTCTAGTAGAGAACGCTAATTTTACAAACCCATTAAGCTCTGATGGTCATATGGGTGAATTATTTCAGGCTTGACAATCTCGTCTTTCATCCTACCGAAAATCGTGTCGTTGCCGTGCTGGATTGGGAAACTTCTACAATTGGCGATCCACTCTCAGATCTCGCAACATTTCTATTCGCTCACTACAGCCCGAGCAGGAACAATGTGAGTCAAAAACACCTTTCTGGGCTACTTTATATCCGCACAACAGTGACCATTCAAAAATATTTTGAGGAGAGAAGACGAGACAAAAAATTTTTTCTGAATGAACGCTTGTGATGTGAGCCATTTTGATGGAAAGAAAATTTTGGGGTGATTTACACAATTTTTACGGCTGTGAACCGGGATTTTTTTTTACAAAGCTTTGAATTTTGAAAATTTCAGTTCTTCTTGTTTATAAGTAAAATAATTTCTTGCACTTCTTGAAACTCTTATAGGCCATTTCTTTTCGGAGAAGGATTGGGGGGGGGGGGGGGGTAGTGGAAAGCAAAAAATTTATTGAGCAGTTTTAGAAAACGTAAAACTATTCCAGCTCTTGGCTGGAATGGGACATTTAAATGAACGCTATCTCCAAGATCTCAAAATACCGACAGTCAACGAAGCCCTGGCGAAGTACGCAGAACTACGCGGAGTACGCCCTATCGATCCTACACAATGGGCATTCTATGTGGCTTTTGTGTTCTATCGCTTTGCGAGCATAATTCAAGGTAAAATACATTCTCATAGCCCTTGAGTGTGGAATCGTTAATCTTTTTTAGGAGTTTACAAACGATCTTTGATGAAAAATGCCTCTTCCTCGCAAGCGCATAAGTTAGCTCCTATCCCAAAACTATTGGCTATGAATGGGTTGGCATTTGTGAAAAGGATGCAGATTGCTGGTAAACAAGGTAAAATTTCGTACTATTCTTTTGACTCAAAGGACCGACCGGAACTTCCGCATAACGTTTGGGAAAGTTTCGCCGGGTCCGAAACTTCTCAAATGAGGTGCTGCGGAAATTCCGAAGAATACGAACCAAAACAGCAAGAGATAATACCTAAGCGAGACTCGAATCTTGCTCTATTGACTGCTAGAATCTATATGCTCTGCACTGTGGACGATGTGTTCGACAATGCACTCTATGGCGAGCAACATTGTAAGAGACCACTTTAAAAATCTGCGAAAGTACTGGCATGTCAAGATGCTGCGAAACCGCTGGCATTTTTCGGAAGTTTCGCGGCGCTTCATAAAATGTCCTGCAGAAGTTCTCGTTTTCAACCAGTCTGACGTAAAATTTCTGCAGAATCTCCCATTTTTAGCGTTTCCACTCTTGCAGTAATAAAGAAAATTCTGCGGAACCCCTGCAAGATTGCTTATCTTGCAATCTTGCAGGGGTGGAAGTTCCGGTGAATTGTCTGAGGAACTGATTTTGAATAGGTTTAAAACTGAGGACTGGGATGTCTTGTATTTAGTTTTCCAGTCTTTTCTCTTTCAGATTTATTACCCATGACACCTCAGGCTTTATCAGAAAAAGCGCAAAAACTCTACACGATTGTCAAGGACATTGTGCACAATGAAATTTTGCCCATTGAACAAGAAATGTTACGTTATCAACTCGGACCTGATCGATGGACACCACATCCAAAATTGGAAGATATCAAGGTAAAGCCTGAAGACTTTCTGTACTTCCTATGTGTTTTCTTGCAGAAGAAGGCCAAGTCATTAGGAGCATGGAATTTGTTTATTTCCGAGCACATCGATCCCGATAAAAGTTATGGACTGGGCCTGACCAATGTTGAATATGCGCACATTTGTGAAGTTATGGGAAGAAGTCCATTTGCTCCTGAGGTTCGGAAATTTCTCAATTTCATAACTCAATAGTTTTGATCCACAACTGCTCTCCCATCAAAACAAAATTTGATTTGTTTGGATATTCTGTACCACAGCTAACATCATTAGCCCATCAATGCTTGCTTTTGGGCCAATTTTTTGGGAGCTTCTAAAGCCAGTTCGCTAAGGCTACAGCCCATCAAATACAGATGATTATCTGGGAAAAATCACAAGATGTTTGTTTTGATGAGAAGTAACTAAAATTTCTAATCTTTCTCAACTCGAATGAAATCTTTTGATTTGCTGAATATCAAATAGAGAAATCTTGCTCGTTCCAAAACTACCCAAAGCAAAACATATTACATTATTGCCGCATCATAAGGATACGAACTGATAAAGCCAACCGCTCAAAAAGTGATTTTTTGCAATTTGCACGATAAAATTATGCTGAATTTGTATTTTAATTTTGCTTTTTGTCTCATGGCATGCTATTCTGTATGAGGAAGGTTCGTGCTCGGGACGTTCTGCGAATAGTCATAATGTTCGAAATCTTTTATCTAACTTTTTGCTTTTTGAAAAATCTATAGCGCTTATTAAACAGGACTGAGGTGGCTAGATGAAAATAGAAAAAACGAAGTCCCCTTGACTTTTGGGTATTTTTACGAAGTCCCCTTTGACCCTCAACCAAATTTCCTCTAAAAACCTGAAAAATTCCCCAAAATCCCCCAAAAAACGAAACGTTGACCAAAAAAAAGGTCGCCGTCGCCAATTTTCCGTGTCTCTTCGGTCACAAAAACGAAACCCCCTTTGCTTTTCGTCCCAAAAACGATATCCAGCTTGCTTGTAAGCCACCTCGTGCCGAGCCCTGCTTATTAAATGTTACAATATTGACATTTGTTATACAAACATCAAATGCTGTGCTTTGAAAAATTATCCGAACATTTTCAAAGCAATTGTACACTATCTGGTGCAAGAATATGTATAACCTACTAAAATAGGAAGGAAACTATAGGATCTCGACATAAGTTTCCAGTATGGTTTCTTCATACATATGGAAATAGAATTTATAACTTCATGAATGACATCATCACCTATTGAACAGGTATTCAACTGCCAAGCACCAGACACTGGTAACATGGAAGTTTTAATAAAGTATGGAAGTGCAGAGCAAAAGGAAAAATGGCTAATGCCGCTACTGAATGGAGAAATCAAGAGCTGTTTTGCAATGACCGAACCAGACGTTGCCAGTAGTGATGCCACCAATATTGCGGTGGGAAGTTTCTAGGAATACTGACATTAACGAATTTGGCGATTTAGGGTTCTATAGTTCGTGATGGAGATGAGTATATAGTGAATGCGAGGAAATGGTTTACAAGTAATGCTGCTCATCCATTATGTAAAATATGTATATTTATGGGTCAAGTGGCTGGCGGAAAGGTAAATATTAGTTTCCAGTTTCTTCAACACTGATTCTACTGGTCCAATTTTCACCTGTTCGTTTGAGGATTCATTGCAGAATCGACTGTTTTAGGTCTCTAGACTTCAACGCCATTCAATGATTCTTATTCCCATGGACCAGGAAGGTGTGCAAATAGTCAGAAACCTAAGCGTTTTGGGTAGTGACGATGCACCAGGTAAAGCAGCATTATTTCAGACTTACCAGTTATTTTTTGGATTCCATCTACATTAGCCCATTTCAGCGGGTCATTGTGAAATTCTATTCACAAATGTTCGCATTCCGGTAGAGAACATCATCCTAGGCGAGGGCCGAGGATTCGAAATCGCTCAAGGGAGATTAGGCCCTGGTAGAATTCACCACGCTATGCGGTTGATTGGACATGCCGAGCGAGCTATAGATATCATGAAAGAAAGAGTTAGTGCATTTTCTGCGGGTTTATGTTGAAAAACGTACACTAATTTATTCGAAAGTACGGCTTGTTTTTAGACGTCAAATCGTATTGCTTTCCAAAGGTATCTCAAGGATTTCGATTCGATAAGAAAGCAGATAGCTACATCACGGTGTGAAGTAGAACAAGCAAGACTTCTTGTGCTCAAAGCTGCACAAATTATCGACACACGGGGATCGAAGGTTGTTTTTTGTTTTACTTGAATCCATTTGCAGTTCTACACTGTAGTCGATTGTAATCATCGCAGTCACCGCGGCGGTGATTTACATTCGCTCAAATAAGTCATTTGCAAATGTCAACCGTATTTCTGAGCGCATAAGTAAAGTAGGCGATGACAGGGTATAGGTTAACCTACAATTGATGCCTGATTGTGGTGTCATGGATTCCAATCAAAGGAAAAATTGGACAATTATTCGCACACAAAGAACTAGCAAGATATATGTATTGCGTTGCTTCAAAGTCCTGCCCGTTTCTTGCACCTCCTTATGAAGTGCTGACCTTATACGAAATATGAGATGGTTTACGAAAGTAATGTCTTTTTTGCAAATAAATGCCACATTTCTTAGAATGAAGATTTCTAAAACATCTTGGTGGCATTCGATGCAGCATTTCATCCTCTTTCTGATGATTATAAAATTGTTGCAGCACAGTCAATGAGCTCTCGGAAAAGTATCAAAATCTGCGACCCATGCTTCTTGAGATGATCAAGTTTCATGATTTTCTAAATTTTTATATCAACCCTCCGAAGGAGTACAAGTAACATGTTTATAAAGCAAACCCTATAGAATACAAAACGATTTATTCATCCTCTAAATAGCTTGTCATACTTTTCCAGTAGAATGTCAACTAACGCTGCTAATTTCCATACTTTGTCACTTAGAACCTCGTGGAACATCAAAGACAGAGCAGCTCGGGCGTTACTTGGACTCCTCCTTGGGGTTTATGTAAAGGTTTGAAGGGATTGTGAAACTGGATCATCTTAAAAAGCACGGCGAGCTCATTGATTTACTGCAACAATTTTATAACCGTTGGAAAAATATGATAAAATGTTCCATCGAATGCTACCCAAGATCTCTCACAAATTTTTGTTCCACGAAATGTGGGGTTTTATTGATAAAAGCGACATTAGTTTCCGAACGAAGTAGTACTTTCATAAGCATTGCTTTATCGAAGAAAAGCTCTCCTTTCTTTTTTCCATGTATGCTTTCGTATTCTTATAACTTCATTAAGCTGGGTGCATGCATCAAAATCATAACAAAGCGAGTGTGGAGCTTTTCCCTTTTGCTCTATTTCCATGAAAATTCACGTCAAGAGATGGAATTTTTCGAAAACATGTGCAATGATTCCTGGAGACTGAGGCCCAAACCATCGACATTGTTATTGTCAAGAATTTGAAAAGCATTGCTCATCTGACTCATAAGACTACAATGACAGAGCATGCTTATGCTGGGTTTACCGTTATTTTCGCTCTGTATAGCGAGTATGGGGTTAGGACATGTTATAAAAAAAGGAAATTTTTTTCGTTGGCGGTAAGAAAAAACAAGCTAAAACGTGTATTTTCGTGCCACTTTATGAAGAGCATAACGTTGCTTGTCGATCTTTTCCAGAAATGTTTCGTGAGAGTTCTTCCGCATGGAAATCAAGATTATTCACTGCTCAACTGACCACTGGTCACAGAAGCAGAGTTTTGCTATCTTACTCCATTTCAGAATGAGTTGTGGTTTCTCAACGAGTTACGATAAGAAAGTGAAGGATCTGCTGATTGCAGCACATTTGTTGCGTTCATTGGTCATTTCTAAAATGAGTTATGGTTGCTCCAATGTGAAATCAGAAAACAACCTCTTGAGACAACCCGATATTAACAGCTCATCTTCAAAAGTCTTAGCTTAGCTCTGAAAGTTATGAAATCACATTATTGAAATGACTTTGTCTGGTTCAAACGACCCTCTTTATTCGTAAAACTCTGCAATTTCTGTAGCTGATTTTAATCATCGCAATCACCGCGGCAGTGATTATTTGCATTCGCTCAATTACTATACCGCTCGTATTTCTAAATGACGTACAGTTGTCGGATCCATGTGACATCACCGTAGCGTGGGTATATCTAGCTTCAGAGTGGACGAATTTTCAATCCAAGGCGTCACTCGACTCTGCGCGGCGAGGCGCATCTTTTGATATTATGGGAGTGCCTTTTGGACACGTAAGGAGGTCAGATTCTAAGAACCGTTTCAAATTTTTGCTTACGGTAGGTTACTCAGTGTGCTTATTTATTGCACACACTAGGCAACCTATCTTTACCCATTGACGACGATGTGGACCACTGGTGGCCCACGCACTTTTTGCTACCAGGGACGATGTGGACCACCGGTGGCCTACACCTCTTGCAAAATCGTATTGTTTGTATGTCTAATATTTTTTTTTCACATTTTAGTATTTCCAATGTTTTGCACTCTTGGGATCTGTAGGTTCCGTCGTTTAAGAAAATGTTTATAGTTGTTTATAAACAATCCCGTATTTTATAAATAACCGCAACTCCCACACCGAAAGTGTCGTGCAAAATTGCGTCGTCCCACAGCGCCGCCACGCAAAATTAGGCGACGTCGTTAATGGATTAAGAAGCATCAAACTGAAACGATTCGTGGAATCTGGCCTCCTGCTGTGTCCGACAGGCAATCTATATCGCAAGATGCGTCGGGCCGGTCTGAGTCGAGTGGTGCCCTTAGATTAAGAATTCGTGCACAGTAAAGCGAGGTGTGGTCATGCTTCGACGATCTCACTTGAAGTGCGCAAATGTGCTTCGTTTTTTCAAAACTACGAGCGGTAGTGTAGAAAAATCTTTTCTTTGTCAACCATCCGTACAAAACGTGGACAAGAAGGATAAATCCTAGCTTTCTGACCTTGAACACTTCACTTCGGGGTGCTAATTGATAGGCCAGAGTGCCGAAGCCACGCCAGCGCTGCGCCGGCGCCGAGCCAGCAGCGAGCTGTCCCATTTGTTCGGGGCGGGGCTAGCTGACCCCATGCGGGCAAGGGCTATCGGAGCTCCTGGCAGATTCGATCAATAGTCAGTGCATCTACCTGACTAAGAACTAGGTCAGCTAGCTCCGCCCCAATGAAATGCACGTGTATCGATCGAAACAGCGTCGTGGCAGCTCGCAGCGCTGGCGTGGCTTCCGCACTTTGGCGGGAGCCTTAGCTTTACCAATGTTTTGTCATTCAGGAAGCAAAGAGTGAAATTGCCATGATAAAAGTGGTCGCACCCAACATGGCACTGAAAGTCGTCGATCGTGCGATCCAGATGCTCGGCGGCAGGGGTCTCACCAACGACACACCGCTTGCGTCCTTCTTCATAGCTGCGAGATCGCTGCGATTAGCTGACGGACCAGATGAGGTGGGTTATTTTTGGTAGGTCCGAATCAGATCACAACTCTGTCGTTTCTACGTTTATTTATAGGTTCATTTGGAAACAATCGCTAAAGAAGAGTTCAGAAGCAGATTATGACCTTTGGTCACCTTGCTGACTACGGTCATTGCATCACGTCTGACTAAATAAAATTCAATTTTATTTGGTAACATCAAATTTTTGTTTCTGTATTAGAGCAGCTTAAGTCAGAGGATTTATTCAAATACTCCGAGGCGTGTCCAAATAAGTCAGCTGAAAGCTATCTGCACATTTGAAATCAATTGCTCTCTTTTTCTGACGACGAGAGTGCAAAGAGAACCTCTTTTGCTGCAATTTATTACAGGCTAATACACCCTTTGCGATGGTGATGTAATAAGAAATAATAGAATTGTGCGAACAAAGTCTTATTGCAATGAAACACGCTCCGAACAGTTCTTGCGCTGTTCAACACAACAGTTCACATATAGGTCATTTATGAAGTCGTACAACGGATTTGACTGCAATCTTTGCGTTCACGAGCACTACAGGGTGCGCCAGAATTATTTGCGCGTGTATTCTGCAACGCAAAACTCGTGTAAGACGAGATCAGCGATAGGCAAAGAAGCTATTTTGTTTCAGTACGGTTTGTCACTAAGAGGCTATAGTATGAATTGGAATTTCTAAGTGTGGCTTGAGAAAATTCACAAAACATCTTACTGATTAAGTTACGCGCAACACGCAGGTATTTTTTCAGAGAATCTTCCTTCTTCATAGAAAAATGCTCCTGTGATGCAAGGAACGAACCACATGATAGAGCAATTTTTCGGCTGCAACATGCTGTAAGCGCAAAATCTAAGATGGTCTGACAAGAAAATTATCGACGTTTAAACAAAGTCATGCGTTTGCTACATGCTCAAAAACTGCACAATTTAGGGGTGCAAATGAGCGAACGAAAAGCAGAAATTGACTCCAGATCAGGTTGAAGTTCAATTCCATCAGTGAGAAAAGAACTGAATATTTATCTAGAAGCTTTGTGAAAGCACTATAACATTGAATCCGGTGACAGGCACGTTTCTGTAGCTTACAAATGTGATTTGAAAACAAAACGGCCACTGACACGCGGGTGACATTTGCGTACTATTTGTTGCCATTTTTGGAAGAATAATTGTTGGCGAACGCAAGTACTACGATTCGATAGCGCAAAGCCTCCTCCACACTGTGGACATAAAATCCCTTGAGAATGTCTCAAAAATCTCCAGTTACGGAATGAATTATAACTACCGAAAAATTAGGTTTTAGCGCCTTCCAAAAGTATTAGTTCGACAATTTCATTATTTGCACAAAGGTATGGGAATCACTTGGGCTCACAAAACGCCATTTTGTAGAGGATGATTGCAGCATTCTACCACATAAATTTTGAAATCAAAACTTTGAGTAGTTTTTTTGCAACACTTATGCAAAGTTGACGCAAATACTTTTGGCGCACCCTGTATACAGCACTACACAAAATGGCATCACCTCAAGGCTTAGTTCATCACTTCCGGTGTCTGAGTAGAGTCATATGTAATTAGAAAGGAGAGAGATGAAAACCCTAGAAATTGCGGCTGCCTGGAGGTGCGTGCGCGTCGCGCGCGGTCGCGCCATCGTCACGACTTTTCCAATGCTGAATTTTGCCAGAATTCTTGCTTCAGATAAATACAAGAAACAAGAAAATTTGGTACATTATATGTTTATGTATGAATAGAAATTAAAATGTTGCAGTAAATCCTCAGTTGCCTGTGAATTTCCCAATGAACAACGGATGACGAGATTTCGTCAAAAGGAGCAGGAAAGGGTGGTCAGCGATGAAGTTGAGTTTGCGAACGAGGCTTTTGTAGCTGCCCCGGAAAGCAGTCGCGGCAGCTGCCGTCGTAGACTCCTCATCCATCTAAAAAATGATGTGCCATAACATAAAACACTAAACATTGACAAAATGCATTCTCATTTTCTGCTGCGAGGGCTCTATTCTCACAATCAGAGGCTTGACATACGCCGCTCTCTGGAAGAGCATTTCTCTCGCCACAGAATCTAAGTCCAAGATGGAATCGAACACGCTACTTTTAAAGATTTGAAGAGCACTAATTGTTCAGCTATTTTTGCTTTCTCCCGATTATCACTAACTTAAAGGCAGCGTCCAGGCAAATCTGACCGCATGCGTTTTTCATCTGGAGACTGATGAGGGGGTCCTAATTGAGGCATTGCCCAAATGGCAGCGTAAAAGATTCATTCACGGCTGAGAAATCCGTCCCCGAATCCCTTGCGCCTGTGCCGTGACCGTAACCCGAAAATGACTTCGCTCACTCTAACATTAAGCTCGCGCTGGGACCCAAACTAAGTCACTCGTGAGTTACGGTCGCGGCGCAGGAGCGGAGTGTTTGAGGACGTCTAAGCCGAGGATGCATCAGTTGCTCTGGCTTTTGGACAATGACCTACCTAGGACACTGTCGTCAGTTTCAAGGTAAGAAACTTATACGCCTAGATTTGCCTGGACACTGCCTTCAAGAGCTGCTCAATTAGCAGTGAGTTTTGGTTCATTATTTCACGACAAACTAACTGAGCGCGTCTTCGCTCTCCTTATCAACGCGACATAAAAATCACAATTTCGTCTACTTCTACACAACAATTTTCTGCGCATCGCCACACTTCTATATGTCAATTACTTGCCCTTCTCCCCTACCTCAAATTGATGAAATCATTGAAGGTAATCACTGATTTTATAAATGAACATTGTTTCGTTATCAACATGCATAATTACGCCCTGTTTGCAGTTGGTCCGGATCGGCTTCAAAGCGGAATTCGTATTTGAGCGTACATGCAGTCGAAAAAAAAAACAATCAGCTTCAGATCAAGATGGTAATAGATCCAGTTACAGGTTGCTAGACAAGGTACAATACAGATTGAAGAAGAAAAATCTCAACTCTTCGCAGCTTACCCCACTTGTCTGCAATTATTTAAGAACACACGTAGCAGTATTGGTATGAAACAAAGATGCATACCGAATTACTGACATCTGCCCATCATTTTGCGCAAGTCTATAAGGCCGTGCCGAAAGGTCTATTTTCGCTTTTTTGGTCAATCACCGAAAGCTTTGGAACACTGATCGACGCATGCACTAGGTATTTCAGCTCTCTATGATGCTACACTTTCTCAGTGTTAAGAACGCTCAAACTCGTCCAGTTTCTAAGGACTATCATTCTTAGTTTTTAAATAGGAAGGCACCGTCCACTCAAAATCTCGAATTCAATGTTTTTGTCGATTTCAGGCCTTCTGAAAGCCCTGATTCCGAATATGGAGTCGAAAATCCGCGAAACCCCCAAAAATCCCTGTTTCAAGAATCCTCTGCAGCAAGCGCGGGCGAGATAAAGCATGCAAGTGGGCGGGGCGACCGGGTCGCCCCGCCTACTTTGCTACTTCCGGAGCGGATTTCTCGCTTCAGAAGCAGTCTTTTACGGCGAAGCATGGAGGTTTGTCCATTATGGGGGCCCACACTAGTATGCCATCATAATCTCGCAACCTCCATTTTGGGTGGACGGTGCCTTTAACAGCTAACATGTTTGATGAACCCTTCGCTACATGTTACTTATTTCAGAACTAAATCTTACAATTCACTGGAAGTCAGATATTCGCAAACACCAGCTTTCAAGCCTTGTAGCGCCTGGGCTTCTCAGAAGTTCCAAATGCGGAAAATTTTTTCAAAGTGAAACAAGTTGACTGTCTTGCACAAATGCGAGTTTTTTTTTGCGTAGAAATTGAAAACCAAAAAAAGTCCATGAAGTCTTATTCATTTGAAAAACAAAAAGCCAAATAATTTTGGAAAACCTTACTTCAAAAACAGCCTTATGAGCTGCATCGGACACATAAAGAGCGTACTGATCAGTTATTTGACTTAGATCAGCTTGCCATCCAAACATATCGGTTATACCCATAGCCATCAAAGCTTCCTTCAGCTTGAAATTTGTCTCCAGCTTAATCTTAGGCAGGCTTATCTGCAATTGATTCAAAGACTTAGTCTTCTTCAACGAATTTGAAGTTTGGGAACTTACAGTGATTGTTTTATTCTCTAAACGACGTAACAAATTCTGAAGTTTTGTTCCAGTCATTTTGGCTAGCAGTGGCTGTAGTCCGAATCTAATTTATGACATTATAGACAGGAATAACTGGGGAGTACCTACTTTTTCTTAGGCAATATAATATTCAGCGCATAAGACCGATCCATATAATTTAGCGACAAGAGTTGTAAGTCCTCGTCTTCAGCGTACATGCGTTTCTCTTTAGAGGCTTTCATAAAATCCAGCTTAAAATACATCGCTACAATGTCTAAAAGTACATCCGATACACTTCGCAATTTTATTCTCAAACTGTTCGCTGGATTACCAAGTGAGCGTTCAAAAGACTGCTTGATAAAATCATATAAATCTCAAGCACACCTCCTTGGATTTGTTTTCGGCCGTGAAAAAGTCTCCTTTCGCAGTGGCGTTCTTGGAAAATTTATCCTGCCATATACCATGGAAATAGATTGCGTTTGTAATCACGAAAAACGCATCTAAAATTCTTTTCAAGCTATGTCAGTGGAAAGGTTCAAACATGCCTTTAATTGTGTTCCGGTTAACCAGTTTTTTAATTTTCCCATTAGTAGAATTGCTGACAAAATCGTTGATTTCCTAAAGTTCTTTGAGAAAAATTCTGCAAGAGTTTATTAAAAATGCACAATCTTTTGAGTTTATCCTTATACACTAGGGGGTGCGCCAGAATTATTGGAGCATGTTATTCTGATCGCCATACGAACATAAAACCAGCTTAGCAAGGAACCAAGCTTGTTTTCATTTTCTTGGTTTCATATCATTGTAATCTAATTGGAAAGATGTGAATTTGCCTATTTTCCTTTTCTTAAAAAATAGTATATTTTCGGTACTTTTCCGTTATCCGGACCCATTTTTTCAAAGAAGGATACTGCTTCTTTCCTTGCACCATATATGTTCCCAACTTCGTAGGAAAGAGTGTCAACCTTCTGCCACGTGTCAAAAAAACTTGACATGCCATCTACATGTTTAACAAGTTTTACCAGGAGTTCGTGTTGCCCTACCTAGCGACATAAGTTCAACCTTATTTGGTCAATAATGACCCTATTTTCGACTAAACATTTTCAGAAATGACATTGTTATAATAATAACGTCGCCCTCTTATCAACATACTATACATGCCCAGAATAGAGAAGTGCGCTAGGGTTCCATCATGTGAGCGGCGAAAAGCAGCACCAATGTACTACTTCAAGCTATCATTTGTAGACGCTTCTGGCTAAACTTGCATGGCGGAAAGTCTGAAGAGAAATACATTTTCGAATCAGCTAGAAGCAATCAAGATATTCTAGTAATGGTCCTAGATTGTTTTGCTCTTATGTAAATCAGCTGGACAGCTTTTGAGTGGTTACAAATGCTCTTTTACCTCACCGAAAATGATTTCGAATAAACATGTCAAAGTGGTTTAGAACGTGTCAGTTTTCTCCTGACACGTGGCGGGGAGGCAGTTTTCGTAGAATCTGTGAAAATTTGTGCTTAGACTACAAAAAGTATTTTATAAGAGCTTTTCAAAAAAATGGGTCCGGACAACGGAAAAGTACCCTATTTTTCTCCAACTTTTTCGCTTGTTGCATGCGCGGGTGAAGGGTTACAAATTTGTTCAGCGTGTACCTTTTTGACCCTACGATTCTTTTGAGTAAAGATTTTGCACCAGAAAAGAGCTAACCTTAATCTTCAGTATCACCGGGTGTTGCGACTTTTGGGAAAGTTCAAAACGAAAATTCTGACTATTCAACCGTATCACCATGTGTTTTTTCCCGCACAAGTTCGGTTCCTGCAGTTCTTACTTCGCTTAATGAAACCGTTTATTTTGAAACTGCTTCCTATATTGCTTAAAGCATTCTGTGACTCCAAATCAATTTTCTGACTGGTTCTGTTGGGGGTAGGGGACTATATGTCGCCGATAGGCTCCACCACGCGTAGGCAGCTGGTACTATTCTGTATGTGTGTTAATTGTGGAGTTGCATCTTTGTCGCAGATGTCTGCAGGAACCATCCTTTCGGCGACATATCCTCAACCCGTTCGTTGTCACTACTTCAGAAATTTTGACGCAAATAGTTCTGGAGCACCCTGTAGCACATATTCCGAATCAGGCCAAAACTGGCATGCTGCGCGTCCGCACCGCTACGTTTTGTTAAGAATATGGTTTAATAGGTGGCAGCAGTGTACCCGTTGTTCTCTACTGATTCTCATTTCCTCTCTCGCAAGGCTTTGCACGCGCGCAAACCTCTAGCATTGCGAGCGCAAGACAAGTCAACGTTTCGGCTTTCCCATGTGGACCAGTGACAAACCTTTGCTGAGGTCACTGCATCGGAGAAGTCGAGAGTAGCAACCTTGGCCGAGAAATGTTTTCTTATCTTCTCAACGTAGCTCTTGTTCAAATTGTCATCATATAACTCGCTAAATTTTCGATACCCGATCGAGCACGTTCAAAGTATTTTGCTCTAAGACTTACTCACTCTAAGAAAAAACCATTGGCAATTTTGGTTTGAACTCCTTTCTTTGCTTTTGCGATATCAGCCGACAGTTTTGAAAGGTGACTTAGAAGTGTTTCGTCCGATGCACCTGAAGTAGTTTCCTTTATAAATGCCTGCAAATTACTCCCTACCATCTAAGATTTTGTTGCTGATTTGCATCTTGGTATTGCCTTTGGATCCCACTTGCACCATTGCAAGAGCGAACATCACAGATAATGGTGATAGTACACACGATTGTTGTATTGGCGCCCGCCGCAATAGGTCCAAACCAAAGTCTGTTTCGATGGCTTGCATCCTGTATCAAATATCGAAACAAAAGTAGGCTGCTTAGGTGAGCCGCATAAGACTACCCTAGTTTCACGAGTACAAAACACCATTTTTGCTAGCAAGGAAATGGTCAGAAGTCGAAGTGGCCAATCCAAACAAGCTGCGTACCATTCGATGCAACTTAGAATATCTGCAGAGCGCCTTTGTAAGTGAAGTTATGAACGAGCTTTAGTGCAAAAAAAATCGCACACAAAAATTGCACATTATTGCCCTTTCCGCTCGACTTTAGGCATTGGCCATATGAAGTGATCTAGCTGCATGTTTTGGTCTAGCACTGAGCCAGGAATGGCTCTGTACGGCCAAGTTCGCCCTTTACACACACAATTTTTAGCAAAATAATGGCCATTAAGGCTGGTAATTCCATCCACAAAAGCGGTCTGCAGATAAGAAAGACTTTGGAGTCAGCGTTTTATGCTGCACCTAATGTTATGCAGCTTGCTCGAATTGGCCACTTCGCTTTCTGACCATTCCCTTGTAAGTAAGTGCTAAGCCCAAACACCTAAAAAGGTTTTGCGCCCGAAGGACACCTTTACCATCCTGCGCCTTACCCAAACATCGTCCACTCAGATTGAGTATCACAAGATCTAATGATTGAGAATGACAAAATCTTTGTCATATAATAGGTTTGCCCTTAGCTAGCAGTCGCTTAAGTCTTGCTGCAAAAGTGGATTCTGATGCGAGAAAATTGCTCTAAAAAGTAAAAGTGGCCGCGCTGGCTCCGCTTATTGAAGTGGGTGGCCTGAAGATCAAAGTTCGAAGGGTGGACAGAAATGTTGCAAATTCGATAATCTTAATAAAGAATTCTACAAAAATTTCTAACACATTGAACTCCGAGTTTGGATTTATTACTTTTAGACGAAACATGTTGGTGGGCGGAGCCAGCGTTGCTGCTCCTATCGTCTAGAACGGTTTTCTGGCTTTAGAACTCATCCCATCCATTACAGAGAGAAATGAGCGATTGCCAAAAAGGGGCCCTGTTACTAGCTAGCATCAAAATCACATCACCCTTGATTTGCTCAGACAGTCGGTGCCGTAGCTCCGGAGGACAGTCGAAATCTGGCAGAGCCGCGGAGGACCCAATTGACCATTGAGAGCGGGGCGAGGGAGCGGTCCCTTCTTGTAGGTCACGGTGACGTCACAAACAGGCGAATGGGACCCCTCTCCGGGACGCGCAGATCTCTGCTCCGGAGGTACGCCAGATTTGGGAGAGCCCCGGAGCAGAGATTTGCGCTCCGGAGGTACGCCAGATTTGGGAAACCTCCGGAGCACAAAATGGGAGGGCTCCGGAGCACAGATGGGAGGTCTCCGGAGCAGAAAATGGGAGGGCTCCGGGGCAGAAAATGGGAGGTCTCCGGAGCACAAAACGGAGGTATCCGGGACACAGAGTGGGAGGGCTCCAGAGCACAGATTTGCGCTCCGGGGGTATGCCAGATTTGGGACACATCCGGAGCACAATAGGTACGCAGCCAATTTGCTGTGATACGCAGCTTAGCATTTTCGAAAATAAGCTGCCGTCGCTTTCGATTTACTCTTTTTTGTCGTTCTTTCGCGCTCGTTTTTCTTTTTTTTTTTTTGGTTTTTCGTGTTGCTCGTCGGCTCGCTGGCGTTTATGCTGTTTTAAGTTATTCGTTTTCAGGTTTATTTCGCATTTTCGTGCGGATGCACTCAATCGTTTTGGTGTTCGGCTCTCGTTTTCGACTTGCGGTCGTTTTTCCGCGTTCTTTTCCGTTCTTTTTCTTTTCCATGTTGCTCTTCGGCGCTTTTGGCGTTTATTTGTTCAGTTTTTTTCTTTTCAGGTTTCAGGTTTTAGGTTTTCGTGCGGATGCACTTAATCACTTTTAGTGTTTGGCTCTTTTCGACTTGCTGAGACATCATTGACTATTGATGGAGTGGTTTTGTGATAGATCTTAGATTTTCGAAACAAAAAAAAAACAAACAAAAACAAAGAATATAAACAATAAACAGAGGAAACGGAGAAACAGAGAATTCGTGTTGAGTCACTATTAGTATGTCCGATATCTAAAGCTAGTGCTCTGCAACGTGCTGGTCGCGCTGGTCGTACTAAGCCTGGTTAACTTTTCGGTCCCAATCGTTCTCACATTAAGAAACTTTGCATTTTAGGAATGTGTTTGCGGAGATCCCTTTGTTTCTTTACATGCTCACGAGCTTTCTGAAGTACCCAGTCTTCCAGAATCTCAAGTACGAAAAAGTCTGCCTTGCACATCATGACCAGGTGTTGTAATGCTTGCTCAGCTTTTCCTAATCTTTCGTTTCTAGGACTTTCTTTTTGTTCGAAGTATCAGCCTATCACTCTGACAAAGTCATACAAGCTGGAGCGAATCAATTTTATTTTTTTATCACCCATCGTACTGCTTCCGTCACTCCTTTCAACTCTAGCATTAGGAGCAGGTGAGGTGGGGATTGCTATGATTTTGGTAGGTTATACAGTTGGAACAAAGCCATTTTAGCTGCGGATATGTGAAGCATCAAAGTCCCACCTGCTAATTCGTTTCTTGGCTTGATCGTTTGCACAACAAACTACATCGTTCAAACTGTTTACAAGCTTATCAGTTTATATGCTGCTCATAAGCGACGCTCTATTTGGCATCTGTGGCGGATATAGTTCAGTTCTTTGTGAGTGTTTTTTTTCTGTTGGAGTGCTTATGTTAACGTGAGTTAATTTTGTGAGGCTCAATACATGCGAAAGGCACTCGCCTCTGTAGACTACTCGTCGTACAATATGTTGTATCATTCATTCTTTGATTAAGAAACGCGAGCGCGCTTTGCGTACATTTCATTAACAAGTTCATGAATGAGTTTTAACGCGTTTGATCGTTTACTATTAGATTTCCTGGAAGAACATGTTTGAGCTCGCTGAACCACGCTGGCTTGAACACTTTCATTTTCGTATTCCTGATATTAAATAACCAAAACGCGTTAGAACTCATCCATGAACTTGTTGATCAAATGTACGCCGAGCGTGCTCGCGTCTCTTAGTCTGAAGATGAATGATATATGTTGTATATGTTGTAGCATATGAAAAGAAACCAGTAGTCGCGGAAGCGGTATTGCTTGCGTCCTCAAATAAGCTATTGTGCTTCCTCATGTGAATCCTTTAATCACAATCCTCAGTTATGGAGTGTAAACAACATCCACTACTCGTCGCAGTATTAGAATAGCTGGTCTCGAAGGTGCTTGGTCTTGGAGGTGCTATAGGATATGTCGTTTCTGGCACAGTCCGAAAGCAAACATCTATTCTGAACTTCGCCTCTTAGCTTGTTTTTTATTTTTGGAACTATCCTTTTGTGACACGTAAAAAGCTAAAACGCATCGATTAAGAGTTTACAACGTCAGCTTAAAGTGTTCCTGTTTTAATCCTACAAAAAAGCGGAGACGCGGGGTCAGATAGGGAAAAGTGGAGGAGGAAAGGGCAGGTAGCCGGTTTTCGGCACTCGCTGTTTTCTCAGATAATCGTTTTCGTAGGAAAATGTACAAGCAGAGCGACAGTACGTATGGCGTTACGCCATACGCTCAACTGCATCTATTCGATACTTGCAGCCGTCGTGGAGTAAACGTGATGATACCTATGGACAGAAGCGAACTCAAGCTCAACGCAGTGTCCAACAAAAGTTTTGTTTTGCGATTCGCAGTAGATTGTTTGCAGTTAATTCAAGATAAATGTCTTGTCTCTTCATTCTTCTATCTTCTATCTACAAACGCTAGGGGTGAGAGGGAGGGGGTAGAGGATTTCTATTCTATTAGCTATTCTAATACTGCGACGAGTAGTGGATGTTGTTTATACTCCATAACTGAGGATTGTGACTAAAGGATTCATATGAGGAAGCACAATAGTTTATTTGAGGACGCAAGCAATACCGCTTCTGCGACTACTGGTTTCTTTTCATATGCTACAACATATACAACATATATCATTCATCTTCAGACTAAGAGACGCGAGCACGCTCGGCGTACATTTGATCAACAAGTTCATGGATGAGTTCTAACGCGTTTTGGTTATTTAATATCAGGAATACGAAAATGAAAGTGTTCAAGCCAGCGTGGTTCAGCGAGCTCAAACATGTTCTTCCACGAAATCTAATAGTAAACGATCAAACGCGTTAAAACTCATTCATGAACTTGTTAATGAAATGTACGCAAAGCGCGCTCGCGTTTCTTAATCAAAGAATGAATGATACAACATATTGTATGACGAGTATTCTACAGAGGCGAGTGCCTTTGGCATGTATTGAGCCTCACAAAATCAACTCACAGCTAGAAAGCAGGCAGCTCTCAACAATCTTTAGCTAACTGTCATTATTTCGCCTTCAACTCTTGGAGCCACTATATGAGGTTGCTCAGGTTTGTCCGTTTTGCAAATTTTCTGATCAGGTTATAATTAATAAAATCAACATTTTCTTAGAATTTGATCCCATTAAAATAAGGGATTTTTCTCTTATCAAAACAATAACGTGCAAAGAACGCAAGCGAAAGGGCGAGAATCAAGATTCACGAAGAGTTTATGGAAATTGTGTTTTCAAATTCCCCCATATAGAGGAAAACAGACATGTTTGTTTGTCATTCATTGGGAAACCTGAATTTGATGGACGAAGAAATAACGTTTTCCATGTTACAAACAAAAAAAACTACTTTCTAGCGGTTCCATTCTGCTATTGCTTTACCCTTATATTTACGATATTACATCACTCTTCCCTAACCGTAAGCTGTTGCTTCTTGTGAAAAAAAGTTTACATATTGTTTATTTAATTTAGATACTCACAAAGGAACCGTGTCGAGTCGAAGTGGCCTTTCCAGATGAGACCCATACTGCTTTGAAGAGCATTAATCGGTGATTCCAAATCTGCTTTCCAAGTCTGCCAAGCGCCTCTGGACGCCGAGTTATGCTCGTTTTTCAGGTCAAAAAATTGAACGCAAAACTGAAGCAAAATCGCCCAAAATTGCTGAAATGGC